CTCTTAATTAGTCATCACTTTATAATATGTATTCAAGGCATCACTCTATATGTATCATTGTTTATTAAAAAATGATACTGCTTGCACCTGTAAAATGGCTGATTTAAATTCTAATTTCTTAATTCATGTATATTTGTACATGGCCTTGCATTTTCTCAACAATCCATTGTACTGATCCCAATTCTACAACATTGGGACACGCAGGATTTTCTATTGTAAAAGACCAACCATAAGCAATTACATTGTCAAATACTGGGTATATAGAATCATTTGTGTGCTCTTGTATTTTTGTGGTGCTGATTTATAGACAAACTGTTCCGTTATGTGGGTAGTCTCTCATTGTACTGTTATGTGGGCAGTCTCTAATTATACTGTTATTTGGGCAGTCTCTAATTGTACTGTTATGTGGGCAGTCTCTCATTGCACCGTTTTGTGGGCAGTCTATACTTGTACGGTTATGTGGGCAGTCACTCATTGTACCGTTATGTAGGCAGTCTATACTTGTACGGTTATGTGGGCAGTCACTCATTGTACCGTTATGTAGGCAGTCTATACTTGTACGGTTATGTGGACAGTCTCTCATTGTATCATTATGTGAGAAGTCCCTAATTATACCGTAATGTGGGCTGTCTCTCACTGTACCATATATGTGCGTTGTCTCTCAATGTTCTGTAGATGTGGGCAGTGTTTCACTGTATTGGTACCGTATATGTGGGCTGTGTCTCATTCCACCCTTCATGTAGGCAGTGTTCATGTTTATGTAGGTAGTGTAGGCAGTGCTCATGTTCATTTAGGCAGTGTTCATGTAGCCAGTGTTCATGTTCATGTAGGCAGTGTCTCATTGTTGTACAGTTGATATTGCACTGTTGTTTCTTGACAAAATTGGAAAAAAGCTTTTTATTATTGTTATATGTGAAATCTTACGAAGTTTACTAATATCAGGCATATATATATGTTGTTGTTCGTTAGTCGAGAGTTTGTGCTAGTTCTGTCTGTGGGTGCGCAGATGGCTAATGAGGCCGATTCTGGCACGAAACTTTCTTTTGCAGTAGGTACAGAATGATGGGGCATCTCCGGGAACAGAGTCAGACCGGGCCTTCCTGGCATGTCTCTTGCCTCTGCAGCCGCTGTTCTGCTAACTTCATGTTGCATAGAGCTCCTGTTTAAAGTGGAACGCCATGATGTTCGGTTCTTTGCTTTTTTCCTCCCACATGTCTGGGTTTATGTCGAAAGCTTTCAGTAAGGCTTTAAGGTTGCCTTTTAAAACATTTCTTCTTCCTGCCAGCAGACCGCTTTCCATGTTCGAGCTCACCATAGAACACTCTTTTGGGCAGACGGTCGTCTGACATTCTCACATGTCCCGCCCAGCGAAGCTGGGACTTCATTAAGATGTTAAAGATGGTGGGGAGACCTGCCTGTGTGAGTATTTCTGGGACTCTGTCCTGCCATTTAATGTTGAGGATTTTTCTGAATCTTTGTGTATGAAAGTGGTTCAGCATTCTTGCATGGCGTTGGTAGACCGTCCACATTTCACAGGCATAGTGAAGCTTAGGGAGAACAGCCGCCTGATATTATATACTTTCATTTTAGTTTGAGTGTTGATACCTCTCCTGGTCCATACGTTCATAGTCAATTTACCATAGTTTGCACAGGCTCTCGCAATATGTCTATAGGTTTTTCTTAGTAAGCATTTAGCAGTATTAAGGGAGTCAATAAAGTATAATTGTTTTGAAAATGTCAAAGGTTAATTTAACCAAAAGCTCAAAATTCCGAAGTCTTAAAAGTTCAATAAATTCCTTTAATTTGCCACCAAAAAAAAAAAAGAAAAAGATTTACCATGGAAACAAGAGATTGCATACGTATGTGTTTGCTTATACTTACACGTGTTTACCTTTCGTTTTGTTCGTTGGGTCCAAGGAATGAAAGACAAAACCCCAAACACCTTTTGCAACAAATCAAATGTTAGGATTATCACTGAATTTTACTAAAATAGTTATGCTGGAAGGCGTTTGTATAATGCATCTATTCTTGACTATTCTTGAATTAAACCAAAGAAATGAAATGGTTTGAGTTTGTTTTATGTGGAGATGTTACAAGACAAAATGTGTTTGTTGAAAGTGTTGTTGCTAGGCCCAATATCATGTTAACCTTAAACATATATGGAAATACCGAGTCATTTTGAGAATTCAAATAAATTACGATTTTTTGGGTGTGAATGACAGCATTTTAGTGACTTAAAATACTCTTACTCCAGAGTATTCTCTGGCTACGTTTGTCGATGTTACTCTACACCACTGTCTAATCAACCAATACCTAGACACACCGAATAGTGGAAGAAAAACACTTTATGAATGACTGAGGTTCTTTATTACAGATTGACCGTGTTACAGTATCTCCTCATAACTACAGTCACACAGCTTCACCTGGTTACAGTATCTCCTCATAACTACAGTCACACAGCTTTCACCTGGTTACAGTATCTCCTTATAACTACACAGTCACACAGCTTCACCTGGTTACAGTATCTCCTCATAACTACAGTCACACAGCATCACCTGGTTACAGTATCTCCTTATAACTACACAGTCACACAGCTTCACCTGGTTACAGTATCTCCTTATAACTACACAGTCACACAGCTTCACCTAGTTACAGTATCTCCTTATAACTACACAGTCACACAGCTTCACCTGGTTACAGTATCTCCTTATAACTACACAGTCACACAGCTTCACCTGGTTACAGTATCTCCTTATAGCTACACAGTCACACAGCTTCACCTGGTTACAGTATCTCCTTATAGCTACACAGTCACACAGATTCACCTGGTTACAGTATCTCCTTATAACTACACAGTCACACAGCTTCACCTAGTTACAGTATCTCCTTATAACTACACAGTCACACAGCTTCACCTAGTTACAGTATCTCCTTATAACTACACAGTCACACAGCTTCACCTGGTTACAGTATCTCCTTATAACTACACAGTCACACAGCTTCACCTGGTTACAGTATCTCCTTATAGCTACACAGTCACACAGCTTCACCTGGTTACAGTATCTCCTTATAGCTACACAGTCACACAGATTCACCTGGTTACAGTATCTCCTTATAACTACACAGTCACACAGCTTCACCTAGTTACAGTATCTCCTTATAACTACACAGTCACACAGCTTCACCTAGTTACAGTATCTCCTTATAACTACACAGTCACACAGCTTCACCTGGTTACAGTATCTCCTTATAACTACACAGTCACACAGCTTCACCTGGTTACAGTATCTCCTTATAACTACACAGTCACACAGCTTCACCTGGTTACAGTATCTCCTTATAACTACACAGTCACACAGCTTCACCTGGTTACATTATCTCCTTATAGCTACACAGTCACAGATTCACCTGGTTACAGTATCTCCTTATAGCTACAGTCACAGATTCACCTGGTTACAGTATCTCCTTATAGCTACACAGTCACACAGCTTCACCTGGTTACAGTATCTCCTTATAGCTACATAGTCACAGATTCACCTGGTTACAGTATCTCCTTATAGCTACAGTCACAGATTCACCTGGTTACAGTATCTCCTTATAGCTACACAGTCACAGATTCACCTGGTTACAGTATCTCCTTACAGCTACACAGTCACACAGATTCACCTGGTTACAGTATCTCCTTATAGCTACACAGTCACACAGATTCACCTGGTTACAGTATCTCCTTACAGCTACACAGTCACACAGCTTTCACCTGGTTACAGTATCTCCTTACAGCTACACAGTCACAGATTCACCTGGTTACAGTATCTCCTTATAGCTACACAGTCACAGATTCACCTGGTTACAGTATCTCCTTACAGCTACACAGTCACACAGCTTTCACCTGGTTACAGTATCTCCTTATAACTACACAGTCACACAGATTCACCTGGTTACAGTATCTCCTTATAGCTACACAGTCACACAGCTTTCACCTGGTTACAGTATCTCCTTATAACTACACACAGTCTATCCAGAAAACACATGAGCAATCGGTCACGTCTCATGACTATCCCCTCATTCAACTCTCTCATGCCTTTATATCCACACATGTCTTATATCCACACATGCCTTATATCCACACACTTGAGTATATAAAATATATTCACACCATTGACAGAAGAGAGAAAGTCGTGAGAGCCCTGCACTGCCCTTACATCAGTAGCCGCAAACCAACATTCCAAGTACCGTATCCACGGCATCCACAGCATCCACAGTATCCTCTGGGATGAAAAGTTGCACGTCGGCTCATCTGACCATCACATCTACTTGCAGGAAAGTAATCCTGTTAATAGCAACTTCGCGGGTGGAATGACACGGCCTCGGAACCCTTGAGATCCCCAACCACCAGGAGGCGCGAGAACCATCTGATGTGACCGCATAAAAAAGAACACCACCAACAATCGGCCTCTCAGCACCACCAACAATCGGCCTCTCAGCACCACCAACAATCGGCCTCTCAGCACCACCAACAATCGGCCTCTCAGCACCACCAACAATCGCCCTCTCAGCACCACCAACAATCACCCTCTCAGCACTAACACCAATCATCCTCGGAACAAATCGTTCATACAAAAATAGCACCAGTCAACCCTGATGGAAGAGGAACAAAAACTTGCGCCGATTTGGAGGCTCCCGATGGGTCACACTTCTAAGGGGGGGGGGAGGGGGGGAAGGCCCCTCAGCCTTATTTATATTTATTTTAGCGAGATTTCGTGATGACGTGTTTTCTCAGTCGTGCAGAAAGTTGGGCCTGGGACCAAGTTCTACTAATTACATATGCAAATAATATATAAAAGGCAAATTTGGTTTCAAAATTATTTTTAATCTATTCACACAGGTGATTGGGTTTTCAATACAAATCATTTGTGAGGACAAACAACAAATTTTGCCCCCCCCCCCCCCC